ATTTCTGCACATTTTGATGCAATAAAAAATTTCACCGTACACCACCTTTAAGGAATTTCGAGATTTTCAGTTATGGCGCGTTTAAAGTTGATTTCCAGGAGTAATTACCTGGAAAAACGCTGTCCAAAGCTGCCATTGATTTCCAGAGGCCTCCGCTTCGAGACCCGCCGTAAATCGACATGAATCAACAGGAAGAACACAGTCAAAACGAGTGATACAGTAGTTTACTGTTGCTGTAAATCTGGAAAACAATCGCAGCTTTGGACAGCGTTTTTCTAGGAAATTGCTACTGGAAATCAACTTTGAACGCGGCATTAAAAACTCTTTTTTTTCATTTTTTGCTAACTGTCAGTCGGATTAAACTGTCAGTCGAATTAAGAAGTCGGAAAAAAAATTGTCGGATTAAAAAAGTGACACCTGAAAATCTCTGAGACGGCGCTCGTGTCGATTTACGAGGGGGCGGAACGAAAACGGATACTGTAGATAACAAATGTATTTCTGTGAATTTAGTGGGATTTTCTGAACAAAATATTGACTTCTTGGTATGAAAATGATCGCTAGCAACTCTAGAATCTATTTTTCAGCCGAAGTGCTGTACGAAATGACTCCGGACCAGTAAAATGTGTAATGAAGCTAAAAAGGAGTTGAAAATGACACAGAATCGATTGGAGAAGTACGAGAAGAAGGCGAAGAGAACTGAAGAAGTGGAGATTCAAATGAGAGAAATGGAGGCTGAAATGAAGAAAATGAAAAAGGAGTTGAAGGAGAGAGAGTTGGAGATAAAAAAGGAGAAGTGTGAAAATCAGTATCGGAAAATAAGTATTCTGAAACTGGAAGCGAAAAATGCGAAAATGCAGTTGGCAGAGAAAAAGTTAGTGAATTTTTAAACTTAAAAATACAATAAATAATACTTTCAGTCATTCAATCAGCCAACACGATTTACTCGAAAAGATCACAAATCTTTCGGATCAACTGAAGAGTGAGAAAGAGAAATACGAGCTAATGGAGCTAAAACTAGAGCAAAATGAAGAGAATTTGAAATCGGAGACTCGCGAGAAAGAGAGGGGTTTCGAAGAGAAAGTATTTGACATGAAAGTCGAAATCTTACAATGAACTATTTTTCAGACTTCGGGCCGCTTTGACCATCATGTCAAATGAGATGGAATCGATTCAAAGAGACAATCGGAGTCTTCGGGAACAAATTGCTTCGATTTCAGAAGCTCCGCGCACTCCACCAGTTCCAGAATCTCCTTCGGAAGGACAACCAAACCATAACAGATTCGCACTGTTCAGATTCCAGAGAATCAAGGATTCGTTATATCACAAGAAACAGCTGAAACAGGCAAAGGACATGGCTGAAAAGTGGGTTTTGTGATAGATTTTGGCTTCGAAATCGTCATATTTTCAGGCTGAAATCCTCCTCGAATCTCGTGGAAATCCATCAAATCGCTGATTACGAGTACTATCAATTCGAAGGAAGACTGTTGAAATATACAAAAGAAGTAGAATTGAATATTCAAAGAATCAAAGAAACCTGTGATGTTTCCATGGTTACTCCACTTCCAGATATTCCAGAATTCTCGAAGCGATTTGTGAATTTATATTGGAGAATTATCAATAATCAGTCGATAACATCTTCTGAAATCGAAGTATCAGATTCTGAATTTTTCATTTGCTACGTGGAAATGACTTCTGAGGCGTTATCATGTCAAGAATTCAAAAAAGTGACCTATTTCGAGGTAAATTCAGAGAATTCTTTAGTGTTTTTTTTATTATCTTCAGTTTTCAGTGTGCTTCGAAATGGCTCAAAATCCACAGATCGTGTCCACATTGTCGAAGAGAAATGTTGAATCCCGAGGAGTTTCCGAATCTCAGTCAATGATTTATTTTGCTCTCACTTGCTTTCTTTTTGTTTTCATGTCATTTAGTTTTCTGTCTTGAGGAGAGTAATAATAAAATTTCGGGTTATATTGTCGAATTTAAAAAAGTGGGACCTGAGAATTTGAAAGGCGTCGCTTTTTTTGATCTACGAAAAAGTGCGGCAAAAACGTAATATTTCCGACTTTTGGCTCGTTCGAGCTGCTTTCGCAATTAAGTTCGGTTTTTCGATGAAAAACAGATTCTAGAGATGCTAGCGATCATTTTCATACCAAGAAATCTAAATTTTGTCCAGAAAATCCTATTGAATTCATAGAAATAACTTTCGTTTACTACTGTAGTGTTTTTAATGCAAGGCCTCGAAAATTGAACGGGAAGCCGCCCGCGAAATTTTCCAGGTCCCACTTTTTTTAATTCGACAATAAATGAACTAAAACAATTTCAGAGAAGGCTGGAGAGCCGGTCGATGCTCAGAATCGAAGTTCAAAAAAATAGAAAAAATAAATGTTATTACAAAAAACCAACCGGAAAAATGGAACTGAAAGGAATTCAATAAAAAATTATTATTCAAAAATATGGATGGCATTCTGTTCATGAACAAATCCGACACATTTTATTTTCTCGAGAATGTCATCAATCTATATACATTGAACAACGTAGTTTCCAGAAAATCGATGAAAAATTCTAATTATATCTATTTCAGCCAAAGTCAGTCGTTTTTCGAAAAAATTTATTTCAGAATACGCACCGAAAACATCGCCATGATTTGTTTCAGTACTCAAAATTTGGAGAATTTTTCTCAAATTTCAAATTGATATATAGAAATTGTGTCGAATATTCTTTTTTGTCATAAAAACTCAAAAGCTTCATTCATCAATCAAAAATTCAGTTATCTCTTTCTACGAATTATCGATATTATCGATAATCAGCGCAAACTGAAAGACAGTATTCGATGCAGCCAACTGAGCCAATGTCTTTCCCAAATCACTGCTCAACACTGGTTTCGAATTAATCCCACTGATTTCTCCGATGCAATATGACAAACGTGGCTGGAGACGGGCGTTTCGAAGTCTGAAATTTCTGCACAAAGGCAGGAGTATTTGAGATATTGAGCATTTACTGGCGAGCATAAAGTTGTTGGAAATTCAAAATCACGTCTTCCAGACGACAATCCGATTGGAATTCGTCGGTGAATGTCGATTGGACACTGAAAAAATAATCAGGCGTGGTTTAACTAGGCGACAGGTTTACCTTCTCTTAAGAATGTCATGATGGAGCAAGATAAATTTTACATGGACCATGGTTACAAGTTTTCCAGTACCGGTACTTTTGAGAGTTGCCGGGTGAGAAAAGTCCGGAATCGACATGTAGGTGGAGTCAGAAGTGGCTGAAGAAGTAACTGAAGAAGAGGCAGAGGAAGAGGTAGAAGCCGAAGAAGACGTTATCGTTGGATTTGATTTAGTGATTGCTGATGGTGGTGCAGATGGTGGAACTGTCGGAACCGGAATCATAAAGTACTGGTTGTCATTGACCGGCTTTTCTGGTCCCGTCAATCCCAAACTGTTCATTTCAGGTGCAATCGGACTAGGTTTGACCATTTCGCTACTGGTTGGAGTACTGATCTGACTGATAAGATTGTCGGGATCATTGGATGGAAACTCCAGATTGTTAAGATCCAGAGTTCGGTTCAATGGCTCCCGGGAGAGAATTATGGTATAGGTGTGATGAATACCGTCTGAAAATTTCGGAAATTTGGAAGTTCACAATTTTAAAATTTTATTTTTCAGAACTTCAGAATCACAGTGTCTGAGAATTTCAGAATCACAGAGTCCCAGAAGTTCAGAAGTTCAGAAGTTCAGAATTTCAGAATTCCAGATAAAAGACGAAAGAATTTCAAAACATCAGAAATTCAAAGTTTCCGAATTTTAGAATTCAAGATTTTCAAATTTTCAGAATTCCAGAATACCAGGATTTCAAAAAATAAAATTTTCCACTTTACCGTTAGATTTTTCAGTTGTGTGTTTGTGTTTTGAATATTCATAGCTTGGATCAGCGAAAAATCTCAATATAGGCGGCAAATGTTCTTGTCTGGAAATTTCAGGAATTTTAGCATTACTGTAACTCAACTCACCCAACAAGATGAACACCATCTGAAGTCATTCGGTCTCCCTGATAAAAATAATTGCTTCGGAAGAAGAAATTTGGAAATAGTCCAAAATTGGGGGAGAATAGAGAAGAGGGGATTTTGATGAGCCAAAAATCACGTGGATTGATTGGGAATTTAAGAATTTTTGGGACTTGCAAATGGGTCAATCTTCAATAAACTTACAAGGAATTTCGGAATTTTTTGAGAAATTAATAGAACAAGGAAGGGGAAGATAATAGGGTTTCAAAATAAAAAAAGTGAAGAGAAAGGTAGAAAAGCAATGTCTGGGAGAAAAGAAAATTGGTCGATCTGGATCAATCATATTAACGAGCGTCTTCAGATGAAGACCTAATGCATCTCCTCGTTTACCTATCCAACTGTTGACGCGAAAATTGGTTGGATATGGGTTTGTTCCTGGACCAGGAATTCTGGTTTCTTCTTTTAAAATATTTTTTATAGATTGATACATGTTCTCAGTTCTTGTAAGATTTTTGTATTCATCTCTCAAATTTGAAACGGGACTCCCATCATTTTTTTGTATTTGCATTACAATTTTCCAAAATTATGTACTTTCATCATATAAGTTTTTAAATAATCAGGAAAAAATTCGGGCTCTTTATGACAAGGGAGGGCCCATGAGAAAAGGGGGCCCAAGCGAAAAGGGGGCTCATGAGAAAAGGAGGGGGGGCCCAAGTCAAAAGGGGGGGGGGCCCATAGGTAAAAATGTGGACTAAGTTAAGATTTACCAATTTTTTCAAGTTTTTCGAATGTTTCTATAAAAATTTCGTACTTTGCGCATGTTTCCACAAAAATTTGTAACTTCAAAAAATTTCAGTTTAGGCCGGTTTTTTGCATGAACAACACTATTTTTTTCCATTGTAACTGTATCATTTGAAGTTATTCAGCTAGTTCCAGATTTTTTCAGGCTTAGTAACAAAAAAATAGACAAAAAATATGCAAAATATGACATAAAGTGGAATTTTCAAAAAATTATGAAAAGTGTTCAAAGTTCGAAATTTTAATGGAAACGGTCACAAAACTTGAAAAAATCGGTAAATATCAACTCAGGCTTAATTTTTCCACTTGCCCCCCCCCTTTTCTCACGGCCTCCCTTTTCGCTTGGGCCCCCCCTTTTCTCATGCCCCCCCCCTTGTCATAAAGAGCCAAAATTCGAAATCCCTAAAAAATGCCACCTTCTTTATAATGTGAATCTGATGGATCTGATCTGAAATTTGAATATTTGCCGTCTCACGATCGTCATTCCATGATTTTGAACATAAACTTGAAATTCTGAATCTCCCATAGTGGATTTCCCCAATCCCAATTTCTTTGTCCCTATTTCCAACATCACCTTCCATCGCGCACTAAAAATGTCAACGAAAACCTTTTTTTTTCTCTTTCTAGTCCCTTTCTTTTCACCATCCATTACCTCTTGTTTCTGCCTTTCAATCTTTCCACAAACTTCCCTCCCTTCTTCCCACTTTGCTCAGTTTGCCACCTTTTTTGTTTAGCTCCGCCCACTTCTAGGGGGAGAGGAGAAGCATGGAAAGCTCTTTTTTGTTTTATAGAGTCAAGTGTATCTGAGATAAAGTATTGTTAGGATCAGAGTGAACTGTGGTCCATAATCTGTTGGATTATAAAGATTGGATGTCCTATAATGTCGTAGGTGAACCGTCATAATCTCTCATTTTCATTATTAGTGTTTTTTTTAATATCCAGGTTTTCGAAATTCGAAAAAATTCTAAAGCGAGAAAACGGAAAAATTAGGCATAGGAACGGTTAAGATTGAAAGTAGGCCCCTAGGATTAGCCTTAAAACGCCGCATTTGAGGCATTATCCTAATTGTAAGAGCCTACTTCTGAAAAAAAATCATTTAAGTAAAAAATAGACAATATTGGAACTACAGTAAACCATTGATAACGACTCAAATTATAACATGTTTTCTCCTTTCCTCAATTTACTGGCAAATTTCTCCTTGTCTGCAATTCAAAATCCTTCGTTTCCCCCTTTCCGTTTCATCTTAAATTTCCATTATGACATCGGATCCCATTTCCGGAAGAAATAAAATCATGTTCTTTCATGCCTTTTTTGTTTTTTCTTCCCCATAAACAGTAGTTTTTGATGTCATGAGGAGCGAAAGCAAGATTCACTAATCCTTATATCAAATCCGGTCTCATCCTGAAAATTTCCACTTTTTTGACACTCATCCTCATCATAATCCGTGTTACTAGACTGCTATGTTTTCTCCTCCATCATTTTTCAGATATTTTTACTTGCTAACATTCTTGTCTGTTTTAACTTTTTATTGATATCAAATCGATAGATATTAATTTCCGGTAGTAGAGGGAAATCGAAAAAAGGTGTCTGTGTGTTTTTTTGCCAAAGATCTAAAAAATATTGTTGATGTCATTGTTAAGCTTCCTTTCATAATTTGATTTCTGATATGCTAATGGATTTTCTCACCCTGATCGATAATCATAGATTTCAAAGGCTGAATAAGTCCTAGAATTTACAGTGTGGTGCATAATTACCCTGCCTCAAGTTTGTAACAGCTTAAAATTGGAGTAAAAGGTTGTACTGAGCAAAAATGTGGAGTGCAAAAATTAGAATAACCCATCAGTAACCTGGCCAAGTTTCAAATTATTTGATCAACTTTGAGCTGAGTTATCGTTTGTCAAAGTAGCTTCATCTCATGAAAATCACCGTAGCATCAAAAAAAGTTCATCTTTAGAGAATCATAACAATACCTAGACTCGAGGGATCACTTTGAAAATTTTAGTAGCTTTGAATCAAACCTAAAACTATATTTCTACCAATTTTCGTGCTTTCAAGATACTTTTGTCTAAAGATAGACCAATTTTTATCAGATGATTGTGGGACACCCTGTAGGTACTGAACGTGAGAATTCCTGTGGTTTTGGAAAATTTGTTTTGGTGATGGAAAGCTGAATTGCTTGAAAATCCTGAAAGACTTGAAATTCGGAGAGATTCTGAGACATTAAGAACCTCAAGGGAGTGCTGTGAACTTGTGGGATTCTAGGTTCCTAAACTTTATAAGATTGGGATTTTTAGATTCTCAAATTCTGAAAGCCTGAAACTTCGAAATCTCAAGAAAAGAAACAAAATTGAAAATCTCATATATTCTATGGATTCAATTTCCCACTGATTTTTAGAACATCAGAATAATGAAAACGGAAATTTTCAGACCATGGCCTAGATTTTCGTTTTTAGGCCATGACCTAAATTTCAATTTTTAGGCCATGACCTAAAATAAAATTCTAAGTCACGACTTAGAATTTGGAGTCCATGATCTAGATTTTTGTTTTCAGGTCATGGCCTAGATAGGTTAGGCCTTATTGTGAAAGTTGTGGACTTGGCTTTTTAGGTTATGACCAAGTCTGATCTATCGAACTTTCGAGCCTAGCGGTTCCTGGAAACTTCTCAACTTCTCCTAAATCTTATTCACTTAATCACCATGTCTTTCTTGTAAGAGAAAGCTATCCAGTGGAAAGGATATAAGTTTTAGCGCGTGCCTAAAAGCCAAATAAATTATCCGCAGTGCCAAAGTGTCGACTCTCCCCGAGTCCGTCGTCGTTGACTGAATAATTTTATTTATGTGTTTCCCTGACGTGTTGCAATTACTTTTTTTCTCGCCTATCCAGAAGTAGAAGGCGTCGTCACCTCTCACTCGAGTGGCCTTCTGAAGGCAACGAGGGGACGTAATTCAAAACTTGTTGAAAAAAAAGAAGGAAAAGCAGTTGAAAGGTTTTCCGTTTCCACACACTCACAAAAAGGTGACGATTTATGAGGGAGCGAGAAGAAGTCAAAAAGAGGAAGGAAAACCATCAATCGTCTAGGTGCAGATCCCTTTTAGTTAGAGACTGTTCGAGATGAAGAAACGCAGAGAAACCATGACCCTAAAAGCCACAAACCCCCCTCCATGGCGCCTGAATGCACATATTTTTCGGTTTAATCAACTAATGAGATTTTCATGTTCTTTTTTGCATTACTCTCTTTTCACCTTACTTCGTCTTATATGGTGTATATGTGCATTCAGGCGTAGTAAACATGAGATGAAGCTGGAACTATAGAAGATTCTTGTTTTTCGTAAATTTCTTAGAGATTCTGAAGACGTTTGAGGTGTCTGAAGATCTTTTTTATTCCTGTAATAAGATATGGGGCATCGTTCCTGTACATGTCCGTAAAACATCGGAATCTCAAAACTTCTGAATTTCAAGATACGATCTAAAAACTTTGAAGTCCCGAAATTTTGTGGAATTCTAAATCTTTAGAGCGACGAATTTTTAGAATTCCGATTTTCTGAGATTCTGAGATTCTAATTGTAAGATTCTAAGATTCTGAGATTCTGGGATTCTGAGATTCTGAGATTCTGAGATTTTGAGATTCTGAGATTCTAATTGTAAGATTCTAAGATTCTGAGGTTCTGAGGTTTTGAGATGCTGAGATGCTGAGATTCTGGAATTCTGAAATTCTGGAATTCTGAAATTCTGGAATTCTGAAATTCTGGAATTCTGAAATTCTGGAATTCTGAAATTCTGGAATTCTCAATTTCAGAGTTTTTGAACTCCTGATATTCCGGATTTCTGGTATTCTGCATTTCTGAAATTCTGATATTACGAATATTTGGAATTCTGGAATAGTGATGGTTGGAATATTGAATTTCCGGAATCCTGAAATCTGGAATTTGAATTCTGGGATCCTGGAATTCTAAAATTCTGAAACCCTGAAATTCTGTTATTCTGAATTTCAGGAGTCCTGTATTTTTGAACTCCGAACATCTGGAATTTTGAAATTCTGAAATTCTGAAATCTGGATTTCTGATGTTCGCTTTAAAATTCTGATGTTACGAATTTATGGATTTCCGAAATTCTTGAATTCTGATTTTCGGGAAATCTGAAAATTTGAAGTTGTAGGAATTCCGAGTTTCCGGAATTCAGAAATTCTGATGTTTTGAATTTCTGGAGTTCTGAAATTCTGAATTTCTGAAAAAATCGAAAAATCCATTCCAAGCATCCCTGGTAAGAATCACATAATCTCCAGATCCTGAAATTTCCGAATCCTGAATGTCTCAGAATCTTGAAAATCCTTAATTTCGAAACCTCAGAATCTCGAAAAATGAAACTTTCGTTCTCCGTTTTCTGTTCAGGTACTATTTACGCCAACACCCTTTAGCCGAATCAATTGCTATAGATACCAAAATCTAATTTTCTTTTTATGCCTTTCCTATAACTCGATTTCCTATCTCCTCTCCAACACCTCAACATATATTGGAAGAAGCTTCCACAGCTAGAACCAAGAAAAAGATTAATCGACACATTTTCCTGGATGTGTGTGTGTGTTGCAGGCAAAAAAAGTCGTCATCATCATTGGTGAGGTGGTGGTGCAGTCCGTCTTCTTCTCCTAGTCGTTTTCTATTAATGTCAACTTCATTCATCTCTTCTTCCTCCCACCATCACACATCCTTCTTTTTTGCTTCTTTTCGTTTTTTCTTTTTACACCACACCCGTTTTTGACTTGAAATCAGATCCACCTCCGTTTCCTGTGTATGTGGGGGAAGGATGACGTGGATTCTGGAATACGGAGAACGAACAAATTGGTCCTAGTTTAGGAATTTTAGGGGAAAATTCAAAAAAGAAAATTGGTGCTTTTGGTTTTGACTTTATTAAAAAGGGTTAAATGAACTGTCACCAGAGATTCTGAAAATTTTTTGGCTTATATTAGGATTAACAAGATTTTCAGTTACATATTCTTTGAAATTTCTTAATATAGGAAATTCACTGTTTTTCCAAATCTGAATAATCAACTCAGTTTAATCCTAGAAGAATTTTTTCTATCTCACCGTAGACACATTCCCCTCCCTTTAACTTTCAATTTTTAGCCAATTTATCTCGGCTCCTGTGAATGATCTCAAAAAGTGATAAACTGATAAAATGTCGTTGAAAAAGTGGTGAACATTTTATCAAATGACAATTTTTATATCTCTCATAGCAATCAATGTGGCTCATAATTACCCGGCCTCAAGTTTGTACTGGCATAAAGTTTGAGTAAGGCGTTGTACAGGGCTCAAATTTGGAATTTAAAAATTCCAATAATTCATCAACGAGCAAACCAATTTTCAAATTATTTGAGCAACATTGAGCTGACATGAGTTATCGCTTGTCAAAGTTGCTTCATCTCATTAAAATCACAATGGCGTGCTAGAAAAATTACGCCGTTCATTCTTGGTCAATCATAACAATGCCTATCCTCACGGAATCGCTTTGAAAATTTCAGTAGCTTTGAATCAAATATAAAATTATAATTCTACCAACTTTCGTGCTTCCGTGATACTTAAGTCTAAGGATATACCCGTTTTTATCAGTCCGGGTGATTGTGAGCCACACTGTAAACCTATATGATTTTTAGCTCAATTATCTCGGTTACTTCAAAAGACATCAAAACTGTGTCAACTAAAAATTAGTTATCGTAATGTCACCAATATTTTAGCAGTTGATATATTTTTGATATCTTTTTCAGGCATCGAGATAATTGAGCAAAAAGTTGCCGGTTTAGGTGAGCTTCTTATAGAAAGAAAACGGCAGCGTCGAAATTTTCGAAAAGTTGTTTTTTACTGATAAGCTCCGTTCCAACAGTGTTCTGGTGTGTGGAGCTTCAAAATTCACTTTTGGTTTTCTTTGCTGCTCCGTCAGTTTCAAAAGGCAACCCATTCCCTTTCCAGCTCATTCATTTTGGTCCGGAAATGGTTTGGTCACTCACGTGGCTCTCGGCTTCCTTTTTACTCAAAATCCAAAAAATCCGACATGTTCTTATGAACCACAGAACATGTTCCAAGCTGACAGGTGTTTAGTATTGATTCCCAAAAAAATGCTCTGTTTTTCTCTACTTTGTCCATATGAAGCCTTTCAGTTAATTCGAGCGGAAGACTAGAGCACTAATGTAAACGTCATTTCGAATTACTGAAAAGGATGTATGTGGATTTCTTATTTCATATTTTTTCTGTACTACTTCTTCTTATCCCTAAAATATTTTTTGCTTTCACATATTCTCAGATATGCATTATAACAACGTTCCAGTGTTCCCTATACCCCAAAACTCACATCCATCTATCAAAAACCGGAGAAAGAAAAACCACTTCTAGAAAAAAGAGTAGGAGCTGTCGACTTCAGAAGCAGAAGTGCATGTATAAATAAGTAGTAAAAAGGAGGAGGTTGTGCACCGCCACGGGTCCTCGCCTGTCGAGAGATCATAAAAAGCGACTCTGAAAAGTAGAAGCCTCCCGTCACGACGTCTTCTTTATCGCTTCCGTTTCTTTATTACCTTCCTGGCCTTCTTCTCCCACCCAACGTCTTCTCTTTTTCTTCCAACACGTCATCATTTTTTTAATGATTACAATTTCCAGGAATGTCGTCATGGAACGACGCTTGGGATCGTGGCAAACAAATGGTCGGGGAGCCACTGGCCAAGTAAGTAACCATAGAAGAAGGCCATAACCATTTCCGGAGTCTCGAAGAAAAAAGGGGGCATGTGGCCGTGAAATTATTTCGACAAAGTCAAAAAATGCACTCATTCAGACATAACCACTTACTAACCTCTTAGATTTTAGGTTCTATGTTTTGGTTCCTTATGTGACCAACTTCTAAGCACTACGAATTTCCGGATAACTCTCTGTTTTTTTTCAGAATGACTGCAGCTGCATCGTCGGTCACGTCCGCTGCAACGGCGACATCTGCAGCACCTCAACAAATGTAAGTTTTAAAGGCGCAGGTGTGATTTTGATCTCGGAAAAAATAATTTGATCTACTGAGTCACCTGAACTCGAGCCTAGATCAAAGAGCTGCGATCCTTTCATATACGGGTGATCATGAATCTCTAAAATTGCTCCGACGTTGCTGATCTGGATTGAAATTTTTAAGGGACGGAATTCAAGTATCGCTTAGCTGAAAATAAAATTTTTCCTATTTTTAAAAGCACGAAATCCGAGAAATTGGATCATAAATTCGGCTAATGTGTCTAAGAAAGAGTGGCGCATAGGCACCCGGGCTAAAGTTTGGGTTAGCATAAATTTGAATAAAGTGTTTTTTCGGGACACAAATTTGGAGTACCAAAAGTCAAATTATTAATTATTAAACTGGCCAAGTTTCAAATTATTTTATCAATTTTGAGCTGAGTTATCGCTTATCAAAGTTGCTTCATCTCATGAAAATCACAAGAAACATTACGCCGTTCATCTTTGAACGATCGTAACAATACCTAGACTTGAGGAATCGCTTTGAAAATTTCAGTAGCTTTGAGTCAAACGTAACATTATATTTCTATCAATTTTCGGGCTTCCAGGATACTTATACGAAATTCGACTTTTCGTTTTTTTAAATGCGAAATCGAAGATTCCGATTTAGTATTGTTTCCAGATTAATCTCGATTTTTTTTGAAAACAAAAAATTCCTACCGTTTTGACCTTGATTGCTTACAAGCAAACAAAACCAATCACCAGCTCACTAAATTAATTACTAAATTAGGAACTAAATCTCACAAGCAAAAAACTGAATTTGAAGATATAATGATCTAGGTAATACAAGTAACGGTCTTCAGACAAGATCAAGGGCATAAACGATGAGACGAGTTCAAATATTCAGAGAAAGACACTATCTGTCCTCATCGGGTGGTCTCATTCTTCTTCTCATTTTCACGTTAGCATCTGAAGAAGGATGATAGACTAAAGAATGAAAAAAATGTAGAAACTACAGTGTTTTGATTCATAAAATATGTTTGTGTGTAGTTTAATCGGAAGATCTGAGGATACAAGAACGTTTCCAGGCAAGAAGAATCAAATGAGAATCCGATGCGAATGCACTCGAACAAAGTTCTCCAATTCGTCGAACAAACTTGGATTGGAAAATGTCGAAAACGCTGGCTTCTTGCTATTCTTGCCAATATGGGATTCATGATTTCCTTCGGTATTAGATGCAACTTTGGAGCCGCCAAAACGCATATGTACAAGAATTATACGGATCCATGGGGCAAGGTTCATGTGAGTGGTTCTTAGATAACGAATTCTAAGAATTCAACAAAATTCAGATGCACGAATTTAACTGGACAATAGAGGAGCTTAGTGTAATGGAGAGTTCGTATTTCTATGGTTACTTGGTCACTCAGATTCCCGCTGGATTTCTTGCTGCCAAATTTCCACCCAATAAGTTGGTGTTATCAGATTTATCTATTTAGTTATCGATTATTTTTCAGATTATTCGGATTTGGAATCGGTGTTGGTGCATTTCTAAACATTCTTCTTCCGTATGGTTTCAAAGTGAAAAGTGATTATCTTGTGGCGTTCATTCAAATTGCTCAAGGATTGGTTCAGGTGAGACGCTAATCTTCAATTTCGCCAAACAAGCCGTCAACTTTGAGCCCATTTATCTTGGTTCCTGTGGAAGATATCAAAAAGTGGTAAACTGATAAAATATAGGTGATATTGTGATAAACGTTTTGTTAAATAGTTGACAACTTTTTGATATTGTTACAGATAATGATACATGAGCTCAAAGTTTGCAATTATGGTGGCAATCTATTAGATTTTTTTTTCTGTGAAAAATTTCAAAAAAAGTCAACTAATAAAATTTTAGTCATTATATCACAAACATTTAATCGGTTGACCACTTTTTGATATCTCTCAGGAACCAAGAAATATAAGCTTAAAGTTAAAAGTTACAAAGTCCTTCTCTTACAGGTTTTACGGTACCTAATTTAATTATCTTTTATTCTTCCAGGGTGTCTGCTACCCGGCTATGCATGGGGTTTGGAGATACTGGGCTCCACCTATGGAAAGATCGAAACTCGCGACCACTGCTTTCACTGGCTCCTACGCTGGCGCTGTTCTTGGCCTCCCCCTATCCGCTTTCCTTGTCTCTTACGTCTCCTGGGCTTCACCTTTCTATCTTTATGGTAAGCATTTATTTCCAAAACGTTCAGTCATGACAAAAAAAGAGAATCATAATAACGTAGTGATATCAATGAAAAGATCTTTGTGGTTGTTGACTTTGCAAAAACGATCCGTCGATGGTTGGCCGCCTGTTCAAAGTCCATGACTCCAACTCGACTGGATCACTAGTTCCTTGCCAGCTATCAGTGACAACGCCATCGCCAGTGAATGTGATTCTGGCGGGGCGAAGAATTCTTCTGTAGACGGTTACTGGGGTTCGTTCTCCAGTCAGATAAGTGGACTCGGTTTGTGGAACCTTATCATTGTCGACAACATTCACTCGATATCTAATGTGCTCTTTGTCTTCCGGAAGAGCAAGTTGGCGAGCTGTGTTCTGGAAATTAAATGAGTTAGAGTTGTTTGGAAGGATCTTAAATGGTCCATTCTCAGTTGGGACTACTCACCAAATCAGCATTGATAATCCTCCTGGCTATCACTCTTGGTTCTCCGTACAAAATAACATTTGGTATCGATTGAGCTTGAGAAACTTCATAAGAGATACAAGACACAAGTATCAGATACAAGAAGTTCATATTTTCAAAGTAACCGTTTTATCTACATATTAAACTATTCTTCTCCTTTTAAACTAGTCTTCCTGCTAGGCCCCGCCCCAATCTGTTCTCTTTTCTTGAGAAAAAAAATCATCTCTTTTATGGTGACAAACATAAGACAGTTCCATTACACTTCACAGATGGATAGATAACATCAATAGAGAACAGTAACCGAGAAACAAAAAGGAACAAAAAGAAAAGATTACAAAATAACTTTTTTTCAGGAGTATGTGGTGTCATTTGGGCTATTGTTTGGTTCTGTGTCACTTTCGAGAAGCCTGCATTCCATCCAACCATATCACAAGAGGAGAAAATTTTCATTGAAGACGCAATTGGTCATGTTTCGAACACTCATCCTACGGTAACATTGTGAGACAAAGGCTGAAATTCAGAATTCATTTTTTAGATCCGCTCGATTCCATGGAAGGCAATTGTCACTTCGAAACCTGTATGGGCAATTATTGGTGAGTTTTGAAAAAAGGGATATAAAAGTATCCTAGTATCTAAACTATTGTAAAACCTGCGATAAAAATCAAGTTTGAGCTAATTTTTCTTGGCCCCCATGATATCAATAATCTGTCCACTGTTAAAATGTTTGCGATGTTATGATAAAAAG